GTGGTGTGTGTGGGATGGCATTGACGTGACACTGTGGTGTGTGTGGGATGACGTTGACGTGACACTGTGGTGTGTGTGGGATGACGTTGACGTGACACTGTGGTGTGTGTGGGATGGCATTGATGTGACACTGTGGTGTGTGTGGGATGGCATTGACGTGACACTGTGGTGTGTGTGGGATGACGTTGACGTGACACTGTGGTGTGTGTGGGATGGCATTGACGTGACACTGTGGTCGTGTGTGGGATGGCATTCACGTGACACTGTGGTGTGTGTGGGATGGCATTGACGTGACACTGTGGTGTGTATGGGATGGCATTAACGTGACACTGTGGTGTGTGTGGGATGGCATTGACGTGACACTGTGGTGTGTGTGGGATGGCATTAACGTGACACTGGGTGTCATTACAGGTCGCTCGCAATGTGGCGTGTCAAAGCTGGATGGTGTTGTCTATGCAGTTGGTGGCTGTGATTCCTGGAACTGCCTTAACTCTGCTGAGGTGAGCATCGCACCTCGTGCTCTCCCATCAACCGCGGGGCATCGGTCCTTCGTTTGAACTTTAAATAATATAAATAGTAATAAAAAAATTACATTAATATTATCGCAGATTAATATAAGGATGCACATATAACACAACACATACTATGCACATTGATAAAATCACATGATGCAACGCGTGGTAGTTAGAAATCGCCTTGAATCTGCCTGTGGATGGAATTGATCAATTGTTAATATAGTATAGTTATATATGTGTGTGAGTTAGTAGTAGTTAGTCGTTATTGTCATTAATATAGTATAGTTATATATGAGTGTGAGTTAGTAGTAGTTAGTCGTTATTGTTGTTAATATAGTATAGTTATATACGTGTGTGAGTTAGTAGTAGTTAGTCGTTATTGTCATTAATATAGTATAGTTATATATTAGTGTGAGTTAGTAGTAGTTAGTCGTTGACTCGTTATTGTCATTAATATAGTATAGTTATATATTAGTGTGAGTTAGTAGTAGTTAGTCGTTATTGTCATTAATATATT